ACCGCATCCAGAAGAGGGCAATGGAGAAGGTCATCCACGACTTCTACTCGGATCTCTTTGACAGCCACGTCCACCTGCAACCATACCGCTTGGAGCAGGATGGATATGTCGTTCCTGCAGTTCTCTCTTCCGAAGTCCGACACGCCATCTCGTCGGTGAAGAATCGTACGGCACCCGGTCCCGACAGGATCAGACCCGAACATCTGAAGAATCTTCCGCCAGTTCTTGTCAAAACTCTGGCTCGACTCTTCACGCGCTACCTGTCGGAATGCAAGGTACCCACCTCGTGGAAAACCAGCAAGACTGTGTTGCTGTACAAGAAGGGAGACCTGTACGACATTGGCAATTATCGCCCAATCTGCCTGCTGTCTGTAGTCTACAAACTCTTCACACGAGTCATCCTTAACAGGATTGGAAGAACACTAGACGAAGGACAGCCATGCGAGCAAGCAGGGTTTCGAAGAGGATTCAGCACGATCGATCACATCCACACGGTAACGAAGCTCATCGAAGTATCGCGAGAGTACAAGATGCCGCTATGTCTCACGTTCATCGACTTGAAGAAGGCCTTCGACTCCGTTGAGACAGAAGCGGTTATCGAAGCCCTGGGCAACCAGGGTATTCCTACTCAGTACATCAGGATTCTTCGTGAGCTCTACAGCAACTTCACGACCAAGATCTCACCATTCTACAAGGAGATCATCATTGATGTGAAGAGAGGGGTCCGACAGGGCGACACCATCTCGCCCAAGCTCTTCAGCGCCTCTCTCGAGAACGTCATGCGTCAACTGGAATGGGAAGACATGGGAGTGAAGATCGACGGTCGGCAACTACACCATCTCCGCTTTGCTGACGACATCGTTTTGATAACGCCAAACATCGAGCAAGCGGAACGAATGCTGGCTGAATTCGACTGCGCGTGTGGAAGAATCGGTCTACGGCTGAACCTAACGAAGACGATGTTCATGAGAAACGGATTGGTATCTGATGCCCCATTCACGCTCAACGAACACGACATCTCTGAATCTCTAGGCGTGTGGGTACCTAGCGTCATCGTGAAATCAATATGATGAATGACCTAGCTCCAGAGCTGAGCAGGAGGAAGCGAGCGGCTTGGGGAGCCTTCAAGAACATCGAGGGAGTAGCGAAGAAGACGAAGAACACCAAGCTCCGTGCCCACCTCTTCGATTCCGCGGTCCTTCCTGCCTTGACGTACGCCTCAGAGACTTGGACTCTACGAAAGCAGAATTGAAGCATGCGGTCGGGTGGTTATTTCAAGGCAGCGCCATCGAAAGGGCGATGCTCGGAGTTTCCCGCTACACGCAAGTGAGAGAGGGAATCCGGAGCTCCGCACTCCGCCAACGATCGAAGATCAGAGACGCCGCCGCATTTGCCAAGGCTTCGAAGATCAGGTGGGCCGGACACGTCATGCGTTTCGAGGACGACCGCTGGACCAGAGCAATCACCGACTGGATTCCACGGGATGTCAAGCGAACGCCTGGACGACCGCCTACGCTATGGTCAGACTTCTTCGTGAAAGCTCTCTGAACGAAGTGGTTTATAAGTCGTCGTGGTCCCCGAGCTGAGAGAGTTCATTGGGCAACTCTTGCACGTTGCAGGGACGAATGGAGACGTTACTGGCGCCCGCTCGAGGAACTCGATGATCAACGGGAGCACAGGTGATACAGGTGATACAGGAACGCGCAAGCACTAGACGACATCGCATGAAGTGGAACTGAAGTGGCGGTAGCGCACACTGACATGACTTTGTCCGCGGGACTCCAAATAATAAGGGAGCTGGATAAAAAATACTAAAAAACCCCACAAAAAGTCCAAAACCCCGAAAAACGGGGGATATCATACTTACAGGAAAATCTTGCATTATGCCTAAGAAAGATCCACTTGTTCAGGTACCAGCACACAGCCACGTCACGGACGCAGTACACATTACATAGAGTATTTAAATGCTTCAATATGCGCTATTATGAGAGCTATGTGACCGGAATGTATTTGGTAAGTAAGCTGAATAGTTTTTTGATCCATCGGTTATCCTGGAGAATCGCAAGAAGTGTTCAGGCGACGAAAATTATGTATGTGGGAAATATTCTCACTAATCTCGTGCTGGTGAATAAATTTCTCGAAACGGACGACTATTCCATATACGGCCTTGGAGTGTTGAGGGATCTGCTGTTTGGCCGAACATGGATGGAAAGCGGCAATTTCCCACGAGTCACACTAGTAAGTCTCTTATCCCAGCTTTTGATGTTTTCCTCCGAAGTTGTTAAGTGAAGCGCTTTTTTTGCCTCACATTTTGGCTAGATCGTCGTCCTCAGATGCCAGGTCTTCCAGCTGTGGAGCTTTACTTCCCAGTGGTGGCGAAATAAGGGTTGTAAGTGGAGTTATACTCGAAATCCCTGAGATCGGGTAGGGCGTCGGTCGCATAGTCTTAGCTGAAACGGTTGTCTATGCTTCTGGTGCATATTTTCATCTTAACACAGTTGTCGTCGTGTTCAACACAGAACAAGATGGCAGTTGCCCCAGACTGGAATATTCCACCCACGAGTAACCACTTTCGTGCCTTGTTCAAATGCCACGCCTACTCTGGTCTCAGGCGATAGGAGTGTCTCGTACGCAGCGCCGCCGCACACAACATCATCCCACACAACATGGCCAGCAGGGCGGGCACGTCATTGGTTGGGGATTTTGGTCAAATCCGTATGACCCGCACCCCCTCTTCCCATCTCCCTTTTTGAAGGAGGTTGCTACGACTCCCCCTCCCCTGGTTCTTTCTCTTGTTTCGATGTGTTCAGTACACGAATGTTACAGATACACATGAAAAATGAAAGCGCATGATTCAATTAACCTCGGCCCAGGAGCGTCAGAAGAAGAAAACGACCTCTCTCCCCTGCGCATCCCGCTTCCAGCCGACGAGCAACCTCCTTCTCCTTGCGACCAAATCTTCTTCTCACGCCTCATGGCCAGCGGGCCACTGCCGCGTCTATTTTTATTTCCCAATTCAATCGCCACTACGCATGACGACAGGGCAGTTGGCCAACGCGACTTGTGTGGGGAGGAAGATAGCCCTGATTTCCATTAGCCGCTCCCGCCATCACTGCTAGCCTTTCACATGGCATTCGAAGACCATCCTGAGTGAAGCTAGAGTGCGTGTCGCATCCCAAAAAGGGACTGAAGATCGCCCTCAATCCTTTACAGTATTTCAACAAAGTGATTTCAGTGCGATTTCGAGGTTCGCGTGCTAGGCAACAATCAACGGCATTCGGTACAGTGTGTCCTTGTGATCAATATCTTCAATGAGAAGATTTTCATCCTCATATGGTTGTGGTTCACGTTACTTTTCGTCGCTTCCACCCTAGATATGCTCTACTGGTTCAGCATCTCCATGTTTCACAGGGTATTACTTTCCTTCGATTTCTGTTAACACGTGATATTCTGCTTGACATGCGATATACAGATTTTATTTTCGCGTTTTTTTTTTTTGCTTTATTAATTGCGAATTGCAATGACGCATGATCGCCTGAGTTTATCGCTACCTCCAAAGCCGAAGACAGTAAAGTCTGCCCGCTCGAACTTCAAGAAAAGCCAAATAAATCGAAAAGTAAAATTGATTTGCGATAAAAATTTTCCCTCCTTTTTGCTTTCACTCTGATAATTCGTTGATGCTCTGCTCGGCTCGAACTTCAATGGAAACCCATAAATTTGAAGTAAATTGCAATTTGCATAAACAAATTTATCCCTCCTTTCTGGTTGAACTTTGAAATTCTTGATCACTGTAAGACAAGCTAAATCTTCATGAACATAATTTTGAGAGTGTGCGATGCACCACATTTGCCTGACAAAGTATCGATGCGGCAGAAGTATTGTGTTGTGCCAATATGCTGCCTCCTTCTTCTTCTAGAATTTCCTTTTCTCGTAGTACCCCTTCCATCCTTACCTACCACTCTCTCAATCCCAATCTCCTACCACTTTTCGGAGACCACCAATTTCTCCAAGGTTCCTTCCGAAAAACCTGGCCGTCCGAGACCGTCAACAGCGATAGCTAATGCGGAGAGGGTCATAGGAATTTGTCTATCGTGGCTCGGACAAATTTCTATCTAGCCATACACGACCCCATCGGCCAAATACGGCCCCTTCCTCATGAAGATCAAGTTCGCAGCACTCTGACATCATTCTCCCAACGATACTGTACCCTGTTATGCGAGTAATCGCTGCTGCATCTCCGCGCTCTCCCATCAAAACAGTGTCCGATGGGTTTCCTTAGGCCGATGGGGCTTTTTTCGAGGTGGACCCAGACGTGGAATACATGTGTAACTTTACAGTGAAACTTGAGTCAGAAACTGTTCTCTAAGATTACGGGTACGTTTTCATGGCACCCAGCTGCGACCATGCCGGAATCCATGTGAAATTCGCGAGATACCAGATGCCGGGAAACGGGCCGAAGGAAATCGTAAATTGCCGCGTCCACGCACGCGGCGATGGGCGCGGCGTTTCCTTAGTTCGTTCAGTCTCGTCGACTTGATGCCACCGGACATTCATGGATAGAGGCTCCGTCATTAATAGACATTCATGACTATTTTCGGCTGGTCATGGAATTACCTGTTGTTGCCATCTCCTACCTGGAACCATGGTCATTTGCGGGCGCGACGTCGCACGCGACACCCACCTGACTCACGATTCTCTTGTCACATACACCAGATCCGCCGCGCAAGCGTGTCTTCGTTAGGAGTAGCTTCTGAATTGTTCTCTCTCTCCCTCTCCAAAAATTTTCAGTTTTAGAAATGCCTGATTTTGGTCAAGAAACTCGAAGACTAACTTCGGACAAAATTCAAACTTGAAAAACAAATTTGAGTTGAGCCGGGTGTTCGCACGGACTATAAGAATTGCCCACATATGGGCGCTAATCCATAAATAGCAGAGGGAAGGTCATTTCGTAAATCACCATTGAACCCATGTTTTTGCACTCCCAATGGGGGTTTTTTTTTATCGCTTCTTTTTTTGGCAGGCGGAGGTGGTGTAGTGACAAGTGGCGCGCTTACCACTCGCGCGGCGCCGGGTTCAAATCCCGGGTCGACTCCCGCCCAGGCCAACCAAGCCTTCTACCCTCCGGGGACGGTAAATTGGTACCAGATTCGTCTGGGAGGATAAAACACTGACTTGTACATCGGCTGGCCACCGCAAGTCATTGTATAGGCCACATCGCATTCAATAAGCCACTACGATTCTGAATGGAAGTAGAATGCGTGCCGCATCCCACAAAGGGATTGATCAACGGCGAAGACTTTATCCTTTTTATTGGGGGTTTTTTATGTTGAAACATGGTTTCTGCTCGAGAATTTGAAAAATTTTGGCATTTTTTTCAAGCGCAGAAGAATCTTCGAAAGTCTCTCTAATTCTTCCAGACAATAAAACGTATAGAAACTACCTCTTCAAGAAACCACAGAGGAGCTTCGCAAAGCAATTTTCGAACACCCTTGTGAAACCTTTTTTCCTATGTCTAGAAGTAACATGACCAATGCTAAAACTTATGTTTTCTGATTGCCACTAAAAAACTAGCCATAAAAAACCAGTAAAAACAAGTAATATGATGAATTTCACAAGGTTTCTGTTTGCAGGCGACCGATTTCGTTTGTATGAGGCATTTGGACTTAATCATCGATCCGGACAAACCGGAACTGTTTCGGAAGGAAAAACGGAAACAAGTGGAGCATTTTCTCAGGACGTACCTGAAAGTGAGTCAAATTTGGCTATGATTCGAGATTCGAGCCATTATTTGCTTTCTCTTTCAGGTTGACGGTGTCCTGGTCCTGCGAATGATCGCTTTACACGCCGGTGTGATGTTCTGCACGGAGATCACGGACGCGCTATGGAAGCGCTATTTGTCTCAGCACCCAGAGAATCTTATTGACGAAGACTCAAGTCTGCTCACCTTTGCGAGGTAGGAATCAAACAATGGCTTTTCTCCGACTATAAAACAGAGGCGGCGACTTTTTAAAAGGCAGTGGGTACCACTGGTGGAGGCGGGCGGTTGTTGCCAGCATCATTGGTGGAAAAGCTGCAAGAGAACTTTTGGCCGAACCCTTCTCTGCCCTTCCACCAATGTCACTAGCGGCAACTGCTCGATCCAGCCATCTGCCACTGCCTTTAATCCACATTTCTGATTCTGATTCTCACTGGTTTCAGAGCACAGTCAATTCGTCGAAAACGGCACGACAGCAGTGGCAGTCAAGAGGGTCAGAATCATCAACGACTTGGTCGAATTCTCTCGCACAGGTAGGCGATCAATCTCCCTTTTTCAGAATCTTAACAAGAGATGACTTCAGAAGTACTGGCGGTAGCTTTCGTCTGAATCGTACAGGATCGACGAATCGATCGTTTACTGATTCAAAAACGGCGACGTCTCCTGCTCCCAGTACGACAAGGTTAGTGTGCAGTGCGATTATTTGTGCCCCCTTCCCTTAGATTCGCTTTTTTGTTCAGATTCTTGTCATGCATTGGCGTGCAAACCGTATTCCTTTGTCTCTCATCTGTTGAATACTCCAGACCCGCCGCAACACGCCCGCTTCACACCCCCCCCCCCAAAAAAAATTTTTTTTTCTCTCTTGGCAGTTGCTTTCACTTGTTTCGCGGATGGCTGTAAAGGGGTGGGGGCTCGTATTTGGCCGTTCTTGCGAGAGGGACTTCCAGAGATCTGTACAACTACAATTTCAGACAGTTGAAAACGATAAAATTCTGACGACATCCCCTCGCAGAAAATTCTTTACCGAAAACTGGAAATTTTCCGGAAAAATGGAAAAAGGGTGGGAAAATCTAGGAATGTGGTAGGTGGCATGAAGGAGGGGGTCGTATTTGAGGATAGAATTAGGGACACCGCGATGGCGTGCCCTGCTTGACCGGTGTCCGGCGAAAGGCACTCACCTTACAGCGGATCTGGATTCAATTCTGTTTACTCTTTGTTTATCGATTGATGCAATTTTGTTAATCGATTGAGTTCAATGACATTGAGTTTGACGATTACTTTTCATATTAATTTGCCTGTCACCTACTCACTCACAGATTTTGTTTGTCACAAATGTGTCGTGCTTCACTCACCCACAACCCACTCTATTTCAGCCATTCTAAGGTTAAACCTCGCCGTACCGTCGTCACTATAACGAGTCCGAGTACCGAAGTGACAGAGCCAAACGGTGGCGATACAATTCAAGAGGCTAGCAAACGTGAAGGTGTTCCGTTAGTCGTGTGATCTCGTCCAGATTGCCCACCAATTGTTTTTCTCACTCTATTACGACTGCCTCAGATATATGATCTATTTCTCCCTATATTAGGTGTTTGTACGAATTACTCCTCCCTCTTTTGTACGGGTTTGTCTTGTTCCTTTACTAAATTCTTGAATAGGGTCACATTTTGATGTTGAGATAATCCCTCATGTTCGGACTGTATTTTCGGACTAATAGCGCCCCAGTCTCACTTTGATCGTAAGCTCAAGATACCGTCTCCTGGTCTTGTTCGATAGTTCTCCATACTCCATGTTCGCCTTATATCTAGTATTGATTCGATCTCTAAACTTCCCAAATTGTCCCTTAAACTGAGCGGTCTATCCTTTTCCGGTTTCCTATTTTTCAAAAGTCGAATTCGTAATGAGTTCGTTTCGGTTGTTTCTGGACGAATTGCTATACCCTCGAGTGCTGGGCAAGAGATCCGAGTTACTACGAGCCGATGTGACAAGTCGCGTTGCGTGCGCGGCATTCGCACCACGACCTGTTCTGTTCGGCAAAAAGAGCTGCAGTGGCAAGTACACTCTTGTTCGCTGCGGATGCTGGGGTGTACCAAGGGGCTGGATTTGGAGCGGCGCCAGCTCCTTCTCCACCAATTGTGGGCGCTCACCACCTTCCTTGATTGGGGGACGGCTCAGCGCTCCGCCAAACCCAACCCATCTCATTTTCCTGACACGCCTCAGCGTCCGCAGCGAACAGCATTGCGGCTAGGCAGTGGCTCACCCGTCCTGCCACTTTCTGAGTGTCACTAAAACTCGAGCCTCCTGACCAGCACCCTATCGCACCCGTTGTGGCCTCTTTGGAGCCAAATGTTCATGTGCCAATCGATACTCCTGTCCCGTTGCTCTCTACTGGTACTACCTTCATATCCGATTTTTTTAATCCCATTGAGATACTGCCATTTCTAATCATTTATTTGCTTTAATTTCTCCATTCATACGTAATATAGATCGATGACGTAATTATTGAATAAAACTATATTTATTGAGCTTTTTCAGCACACAAATAGACTACGTAGTAGGTTATGCTGCACGAAGAAAGCTCAAAATGATACGGTACGAATCATGGGCACTAAGGTCGTTGGAGGTGGGAGAATCCCTGTTGATAAGACTAAGCCACTCCCATTTTCTGCTTGTCTGCGTCCTCCTGACAAGGCTGCGTTCGCTGACTCGGCATGACACCAGGCACCAAATGCTGGCTCGTTAAAAGGGCACAGACGAGCAGGAATTTTACATTTCCAGGGCCCAGACAACTAGAAGATGGGCGTGGCCTTGTCTCGCTCACTGGCTCCTTCGAACCTTGGCACTTACAGAAGATAAAGCTAGGGCAATATAAATTTTTTTGAGTTATATACAGACAAGTGAAACCACAGAACTCGTAATTATGTTAGCGATGGAGCAAAGCTTTCAGCAGTGAGCCCGTACTTTTAGCCCACTACCCACTTTCCATTGTACTTAACCAGACAAGCATTGTAGCCACAAATCGTAGTGCAACATCTAAAATAGAACAATTAAACTAGGTGATAAATACTGGATTGTTGAAAAGTTCTGCGGCACTTTGAACGAAAATCCGGTACAATTTTCATTGCAGCACTTTCTGTCTGGCTGGGACAATCTTCCACAATTGATATCGTCGAAGTGAACGGAGGAGGTTTCGAGGGGGAAGAATAAGCCCACCCATCGCGTTTCCTAGCGTGGTCGTTTTCTTCCGAAAGTGGTAACCATCCAGCAAGTTATACTACCAGCAGGGCACATCATTGGTTGGGGATTTTAGTCGACTCTATACCCCCCCTTTTTTTTGGGAGTTGGTACGACCCCCCAGCCCTCTGTCCTTCCTCATCGAATCGAGCCGTCGAGCGGGGGGGGGCATATAGTACGTGAAACAGGAAAATCACCAAAAGTCAACCGCCACTCCCACAACGCCAAAACGTAAATACGACCCCCCCCCTCCCAAAAATGATCAAATACGACCCCCCTCCCTTTACAACGTCCATGAAGCGAGAAAAATCAACTATCAAAATAAATTTTTCTCAGCCCAAATACGACCCCCCCCTATTGGGGATTCCCCAACAACGATGTGCCCTGACTACCAGACCAGAGAACTTTCTCTTATGAATAGTAGTTGAAACAGGGAATATCAGAAATCAAGAAATGTTGGAAAGTTAGAATTCGATGAAGGCTGGCCCTAGAGTGATGCTGGGAAGCGAAGTGACTACGCCCCTCCCCCCCTTCCCCCGCAACCACAGCTACGCCAGCCGACCACAACTTGCGCCATGGCGGCAACGTGTTTGGGCGCGTGGTGGATGTGTTGGGGTGTTGCTTATAAATTTAAAGTCAGTGGGCACAATGACGGCGGCCGGGCACTACTGCCAACGTCATTGGTGGCAGGGCTGCGAGAAAGCATTCGACCACATCCCTCCCAGCACTTCCCCCAACGACGTGGGCGGTAATCGCCCACCTCCATCCATCCCGCTCACTGCCTTTTAGAAAACAAGCGGGATAAGTGCCCCAAACTGTAAAAAAACGTAAAACGTAAATCTGAATGCGTAGGAACAGCGAGTGCACACAACACCATCTAGTTGTCGCCTAGGCTGCACTGGCTACAGGTGGGAAGCGGAATTAGCGTCGCTCTCGCTTTCTGGCCTCACTCCGGAGCTTCCTACACCCCTTGCGTGGCGCCAGGGGGTGCAAAAGTCCGAGTCAGGGCTGAAAAGTACATCAAGCTATGCAAAAGGCGGACAGAACAAGCCGGTAAACTTCTACAACCAAACCAGCGTACGGTGTGCCCAATTGTGTGCGTTCACCAAGCAACACATTTGATTTCACGCGCAATTATAGTACTTTATCCCGTCTGTTTCCTAAATTTACAATCACGTGTTGATTGCGTTCACGGGATCGACGCATTCGATTTTACGCCTGCTAAAATTACGGTACGCCCAATTATACCGATTTCATAATCTTGCCATTACATTTCCAAGCATGATTCTTCTTAACTCTGTAGCTCTTCCTCCCATTTCTTTCTCCTCCTTTCCAGAATGACGCGAAAACCTTTCCAAACACAATAGATACAACGGTGAGGTGGTCCTGCTGCTGAGATTCCGAATTTACTTGAAATCGGTCTCGACTATTTGGTACTCTGAATGTATAACTTCTTCCTAGAATTCTCTTCTAAGTTCACAAAGCGCTTCTAAGTAGCAATACATCCTATGCCTAGCGTTCTCACGCCAGGAAGGAACAAAAAGGGGGAGATTTCTCAGGGAAGAACTTCCTGAAAATTCTCTCCGCAAGCCAGTTTGCTTTCATGGGTGATAAGGGGAAGAATGAAATTCCTTCCATTCATCATATTATCTGACTGGCTAACCACCCGAAGAGAGCTGATGAAAA